CAGCCCGCGGACGAGAACGCCCGGACGCACAAGGCCGATGGCCCCAAGAAGCTCTCGGTGGAGCACATCTACCAGAAGAAGACGCAGCTGGAGCACATCCTGCTCCGGCCGGACACCTACATCGGCTCCGTGGAGCTGGTCACCCAGGTAAGGGGCAGGGGGGTGCGGGGCTGAGCCCCCCGAGCCCCTCAGGGCAGGTGAGGGGGGCATTAACAGCTGTTTACAAAACACGAAATATCTGCTTATCAACCACAAAACATCTGCTTCCCAAACGGGTGGCACAGAAGAGAGGCTGTACCCTGGGCACTTATGAAGTTCTTCCTTTTTTTTCCCCAGCAAATGTGGGTTTTTGATGAAGACATTGGCCTCAACTGCAGAGCTGTGACCTTCGTGCCTGGCTTGTACAAAATCTTTGATGAGATTCTGGGTAAGGTGACAGATCTCCCGAGTCAGTGAGTGACAGGTTATTAACAGGGGTTGAATGCCTACAAAACTGGATCTAAACAGAAAAACTTATCAAGAACTCATTAACCCTACTTAACAGCAAGCCATTCGTGGGAAACAAAAAAAAAACACCCCAATTTCAAAAATCCAATTACAAACCTGATTTCATTCAGGCCAGACTTCTCCTTTTTCTGTTAATGGTTGGACTTGGTGCCCGCAAAGGTCATTTCCAACCTGAATAATTCTGTGATAACTTGCAGAACTCCTCTTTGCAATTCACAAAATATTTTCATGCCAAGATGATTATTAGTGACATTGCATTGATCTTTTGTGTCCATTCTACTGAAACACTTCATAGTTCTGTCTCGATTTGGAATGCAATAAAGTAACAATATTCTCTTTCCAGTCAACGCCGCAGACAACAAGCAGAGGGATAAAAACATGTCGTGCATTAAAGTCACAATTGATGTGTAAGTTTTATTTCATTGTTGTTTGTTGCCTTCAGCTGTTCTGCAAAGCTGGGGTGGCACTGCAGGGGCTGATCTGAGTTACCCCAAACTTAATCCACTAGCTCTGAAAGCCTTTCTCTTTGCTCAGTCCCCTGGTCTCTTACAGAGGGCTGGCAGGGCAAACGGCTGCTTTTTACTTGCTGCTGTTTTCCATCTCTTCCTGCCTTTTTATCCTGATTGAGCACAGGCAGAGGGTTTTGTGCGTGTCCATTTTAGAGCAGATCTGGGGATTTCTGTGTTGCCTGTCCCCCCTCTGCTGGCAGCTGCTGCACTTGCTGAGCACAGATTTGCTCCCGACGAAATGGTGCCTTTCCCCAGAGCCTTTCTATAACTTGCTTCACAGCTCAGTCGTTTGCAGCCTTAAAAACACATTTTTTATGTTGGGGTTTTTTTTTCCCTCCCCTAGAGAGAATAACACAATCAGTGTGTGGAATAACGGGAAAGGTATCCCAGTTGTTGAACACAAAGTGGAGAAGGTCTATGTGCCTGCTCTGATCTTTGGACAGCTGCTGACTTCCAGCAACTACGATGACAACGAGAAGAAAGTCACAGGTGGGGAAGAAGTTGCATACTGAGCTTGTAGAACGTTGTTGCTTGTTGACAGTTGCCTTTGGATTGTGCTGAAGTGGCCAAACTCCTGTTAGTCTGGGATTCTCTTGGATAGTTGTGGACAAAGATAGTAATACAAGTCTGTGTTCCTTCTAATTCCAGGGGGGAGGAATGGTTATGGAGCCAAACTGTGCAATATATTCAGCACAAAATTCACTGTGGAAACTGGATGTCGTGAATACAAAAAGTTATTCAAGCAGGTAGGAGCACTTCTCATTTCAGAGAGGTTGTACCTGAGGTTTTCTGATGAGACCTTTAGGTTTTGTTTCAAAAATCTAGGCACACCTTCAGTGCATTATGTTTAGAGTAAATTTGACCCACAAAATATAATTCAAAGGAACGATGAAATTAGCACCAAAATCTGGTTTTCAACCAGAGTTTTTGTTAAATTTGAAAGTATCTAGAACTCAAACCAGCTTACTGTTTTTAAAAACTACAGTAGTTACTTGCATGTGCTCGACTTGCAACTCACAAAAGCTCCTTTCCTCAGACCTGGACAGACAACATGGGAAAGGCTGGAGAAATGAAGCTGAAATACTTTGATGGAGACGATTACACCTGTGTCACTTTCCAACCTGATCTGTCCAAATTCAAGATGACAGTTCTGGATAAGGACATCGTAGCACTGATGTCTCGAAGAGTGTATGATATTGCTGGGTCCACAAAGGATGTCAAAGTTTTCCTGAACGGACAGAGGCTGCCTGTAAGTGAGCATTGAAAAGAAACACAAATACCTGCACTTCTCGTGCCATTTAACTGGTGAGGTTGTGTCAAAGCCATTCCTGTCATTGCACACAGCAAAGGAGGCATTCCTGTACCCACTTTGCAGGAGGATGTGCATTAAGTATTTATGGGAGCTGTTATCAACCAGTTGTCTGCTCTCATCCGTGTGCAGGTGAAAGGATTCCGCAGCTATGTGGACCTCTATCTGAAGGATAAGGTCGATGAAACTGGGAATGCACTTAAGGTTATCCACGAGGAAGTCAATTCCCGGTGGGAAGTGTGTTTGACTTTGAGTGAGAAAGGCTTCCAGCAAGTCAGCTTTGTCAACAGCATTGCCACCACAAAGGTAACCTCTCGGTGTATTTAGTCAAGCCAGTGCCAAATTCTTCAGCATTAATATTCTTGGCTATTTCTAAGTGTATGTATTCTAGTAAAAAACAGTTAATATTGCAAAGACTGTGCTAAAACTTTTCAATAGATATTTGTGGGGTTTAATGGCCTCACCCCGGGTCCTTGTCCTGTTTCCTTTAGGGTGGCAGGCACGTTGATTACGTCGCTGACCAGATCGTGACCAAACTCATCGATGTGGTGAAAAAGAAGAACAAAAATGGAGTTGGGGTGAAGCCTTTCCAGGTACAACATCAGAATTTCCCCAGTGGGAAACACAACTCGAGCGTTACTGCCAATTGTAACTCCAGCTTAGAGCATAACTGTGTTGATTTTATAAATAACACATTTCCATTGTACAGATAGTAGATATAGAATTGCTGATTATAGAAGTCTCACGTTGTCTAATTTAAGGCAATT